CATATGACGACGACAGCAGCAGCCTTCACCACCTTCCCTGTTGCTCCGGATTGGATCACCAACTTATGGCAGGCCTGTAAAATCACGGAGCAGGTTGCGGAGCAGGAGTATTTGCGCTGCAAGAAACACGTGAAAGCCTACTTAGACAACATGAAGTTCCATGCCCAATGCGTGCAGACACAGGTCGTCAAAGCGAGGAAGGCGCAAGATCTCCAGGAGCTTCAGCCCCTCATGAAAAAGGCCGTCGTGATCGAGCAAGTCCAGCGTGACTGCCTTCCACAATTTACCCGACCCATGTTCAGAAGGAGCTTTTTGGTCCTAAGTGGACCCACGCGCCTTGGCAAAACAATCTTTGCCCGCAGTCTTTTCGGTCATCGCGAGACACTAGAACTCAACTGCTGTGGAGTGAGTCAACCTGATTTGCGTGCCTTTGACAATTTGCTGCATCGAGCCATCTTGTATGACGAAGCTTCGACGGCTATGGTGCTCAGCAACCGTCGCCTTTTCCAGGGATCTACAGAAGAGGTCACGCTCGCTCATTCTGGAACAAACATGTTCACCTACAGTGTGTACGTCTACAACGTCGCCATGATCCTGACATCGAACTCTTGGCTACGTGAGCTGGAGGAATTGCCGAGAGAGGAGCGCGAGTGGCTCGAAGGTAATCCAATTTGTATAAATTGCACGCAGCCGCTTTATGAGACGTAACAGCCAAGACACGAGAAAGCTCTGACCGTTCCGGAGATGTTAGAGGCTTCTGAAGCCCGCGAGCCAATCCGAAGCGCGGAGAACTGCAAGGTCCGAGCTCTCAAGGAACAGCCGGTAGCTGCGAGCCCTTCAACCCCAATCTCCAAGCCCTAACAGCGGTCAAGCTCCATGGAGCACACCTCGGAACAGCCGGTAGCCCCGAGCCCTTAAACTCGAAGCCCTAACACCGGTCAAGGTCCACGGAGTCACCTGCAGCTTGATGGACGTGGCCTCGGAAGCGTCATGTAAAGTATGACGAGTTCCGAACAACAGAGAGTGATGGTTCCAGACATTGTGTGTATATGTGGAGAGAGAGAGAGACAGAGAGAGAGAGAGAGATAGATAGATAGATAGATAGATAGATAGATAAATAGTGCGCGCGTGTATGTGGGTAGGTGTGTATGTGCGTGCGTGTGTGTGTGTGTGTGTGTGTGTGTTTATTGGGAGTTCTCTCACAGTATTCTTTTCCGTGAAATGCTGTCAACTAGACGGGTGCATACATGTTCCGTCTGCTTTGTTTTGGTTCCCTCCAAGTCCTAAATCATGCATCGTCTTGCAGATACGCTTTTCTCTAAATGTTTGGCCGTCAAAGGCTAGAGGAGTGCATACATGTTCCGTCTGCTTTGTTTTGGTTCACTCCAAGTCCTGGATTATGCATCGTCTTGCAGATACGTACCGGAAAACATGCATCGTCTTGCAGATACGCTTTTCTCTAAATGTTCGGCCGTCAAAGGCTAGAGGAGTGCATGCATTTACCGTCCGATGGGTTTGGTTCACCCCAAGCCCTAAATTATGCATCGTCTTGCAGATACGTGCCGGAAAACATGCATCGTCTTGCAGATACGCATTTCTCTAAATGTTTGGCCGTCAAAGGCTAGAGGAGTGCATGCATTTTCCGTCCGATTTGTTTTGGTTCACTCCAAGTCCTAAAGAATGCATCGTCTTGCAGATATGGTGTCAGGTCTCGTGCTGTGTAAACGGTTTGTACATGCAGCAGATCCAAGCTTCCACGCGCCGCTGCAGGTCTGTCTAAATTCATTGTGACCGGGTGGCAGCCTGAGTTGAGACGGTCTTCAGGCACATTATCACATCTTGGACTGCAACCAGTCTTGCAGACGTGTCCTGGTGTTGGATATAGTGCTGTGTAAGCTAGGTTTCCCACCCTTCCGGGGGCCGAGGATAGTAGCCTTTGACCCCATGGGCGCATCCCTGGAGGTCGCTCTTGTGAAGATATGCTCCGTGGCAGAGGCATGTTGTGCAGCGCGAAAACAGCTGGAAAGACAGTGGTTTGGGCGTGCAAGATCTGCGCAGAGTGTTTTCTCCCTGCCGCACTGTCCATTTTTGTGGCCTGTCCGTCTTAGCAAAGGTCCAAGCAAGCCTTGCCGAGCTGGTCTTTTTCCGTAAAGAGGCCTCGCAGGTGACGTTGTTTAGCGAGGTTGTTCTGCTGCAGAGTGTCGCAGGAACAGTTGGAGGCTGATGCTGGATTCTTCTCTATGTACAGAGGCTTCTCTATGTACAGAGGCCAGGTCTGTGTCTGCTTTCCTTCTGGACCACATTGGGTGTGTCTTTGTGCGAGGCACCGCTGTTGCTGGACGCACGTTGCGGACGAGGTCCTGAGGAGCGGTAGCTTTGGAGCACAGGCCTGGTGGCTGGAGAAAGGTTCATGCGGATTCTGTGTGCTTGTGTGGGCGTGCCGGATTACAGACATGCCATGAACGCAGAAGGGCTGGACGCTCTCTACCAACTGGGTTTCTGCAGCTGTTTTGTAGCTGTGGCCAGACCTCGTTGCGTGGGGACCTGAAGGCGCGGAGCAAACCAAGTTTCTGCGGTGTGGAAGAAAGCCGATGCATGACACAAGGTGCTGGGTAATGCCTCCGAAGCAGAGCGACCAGCAGGTAGGCTTCTGTAGTTTGATCATGCTTGGTTGGAATGCCAAGCTATGCTTGTTAGGTACTGCACCAAGAGCTTCTGCGTCTGAAAGAGACGCGCAAGGCCTTGAAAGCAGAGCTGCGCGAGCAGTCGAAAGAGCATCGGAACCTGATGGCACGACGCAAGCGCCTCCTGCAGGCTCGCGTAGAGCGACGCCGTGTGATTTCGCGTTTCTGGCTTGCTGGCCAAGCCAGGCCACAAAGAACTTAAGCAACGAAGACCTCCAGCTGCTGCTACGTGCGCGAGAAGGTTTGGTCCAGACTCTTTCTATTATAGTAGACTTGTGGGTGTACTTCGGGGAGGCGTTGCTGCTGCTGCCCCCAACGGTCAACCTCTCGCTGACAACGCAGGCAGGAATGCGTGGGAACGTTGTTGTCACACACACACACAGACACACACACACACACACACAGACACGCACAAATTGCCGACAGGTGGCGGTGGCGCAGGAGAGCCTGCAGGTGAGAACGCATGTCCTGTCTCATGCGTCGTTCGGTCTAGACAGTTGCGTTGGACGTGTGGTGTCTGCTGGGTCGACCAGAGTTTTGCAAATCCAGCAAAGCATGATGTGCGGTGCATGCATGCAGGAGCGGGCGCTGAGCGTTGAAGGCTCTGTGGCTGGCGTTGCTTTTCCTAGACTGTGCGTGATTGGTTCCGGTGTTGATTTGGCCTGTCTGGAGCAGCCTGGCCTGGGGGGGCCTCCCCGGTAGACGGCGGTGTCTCTGTGGATTGATGTATTGGGGGCAACCACGTGTGAGCCTGAATCTGCTGTGGCCGTGCAGCGCGAGCCATAGTCTCAGTTGGCCTGGTGACTGTTGCTTCCTGGGAACACAGCCTAGCAAGCCAAGATTCCGGGCATAGCAGTCCTGAGCAACCCATGCTTGAGTGTGTAGTAAAGTCAACTTACCTTCCATGTGTTTTGAGAAGTTGCCTTAAACCCTTTCGAAGCCATGCCTCCACCTGGCCCCGAAGAGAAGCTGAGGGAGCTGTCTCGCCAAATAAAGAACCTGGGTCAGCGCTGCAAACGGGCCGCAGCGCCTGCTCCGACGGAAGTCGAAGGCGATGCGGATGGGTTCCGGCGTTGCGCTCCAGACAGCCTCATGGCCATGCTCTTTTATGGTTTCAGCGGTCATTGCTCCAGCGCGGCAGCTGATTTTGCTTGTGGCAGAGGTTGGAGGCCTGGCGCTTCGGCCGCTGCAGCCACCGAGGAGCAAGTGGCTACGGTTGAGTGGGCTTACATTCACATGCCCCTGTCGGTTCTTGTGGATTTGGAGTTAGAGCCATTAAAAATGGTTGGGCAGCGAGATGTCTATTGCGCGGCCAAGTATTGCCTGGAGCATCGACTTGTGGCCTACGTGGAGGAACAGAACACAGTGCATGGGATTGCACCATCTCGTGCGCAGATGCTAGACGTGGCTCTGGCGAGCATTCCTGCCGCCGCGCCGTCTTGCGTGAAAGAGCGCCTGGTTTCGCTTGTGCAGGGTACACCGCGGAAGGAGCGCAAGTACCTGGCAGCCTTTCGCCGCAGGTGGAGCGCAAGATATGGGTGCTTACGCACAGAAGATGTTGTTGATGTTGCTGAGCGCCGACAGAAGGCTGGCTGGGACAGGGTCCGCTGCGCGCGCATCGTTTTAAGAATCCTGGCGTGTTGTGATATGGGCTAGCAGCAGCGCAGCGGGGGGTTGTCTGTTACAGTGTTACCCACCCTCCGCAGTGATGGTTCCCCTCCCCCCCCCTCCCCCCCCCTCCCTCCCCCCTCCCCCCCTTTTTCTTCCCTCTTTCCTGCTCCCACTTCTTCTCCCCGCCCTCGTTTCGTCTTCCTCGCCCCCGCTTTGGCTTTTGCGTCGTCAATCCACTGCCTGTCTTTCTTTTCAGGCTCTTTCTGTGTTGTTTTTTCTTGCTCCGGGCGGCATGGCTGGAAGGCCTTAACCCCTGCCACTACAGAGCCGAGGCGGGCGGCGTAGCGTTAAAATTAACATGATCGTCTTGGCACTCGGTAACGTGTGCCTTTAGCAAGTTTCATCTGGACAAGGTGTCTCACAGTGTACAACATTCATGAAAGCAGACTGGCCTTGAAATCTGCTTTGAGGGCAGGCACAGGAATCCAGATACTAAAGTGATGCTGATCCAAAAGTAGCACGGAGGAATCTCGAACTAAGGTGCAAGTCTTCGATGCGACACGATCGCTTGCCAAGCACGGTGCTTCTGTGATGCTTTTTCCTTGATGGTCAAGCGATGGAAAATTGCGGTCAAGCTCAATCCGACCGCCGGCATTATCTCTGCAAACCCTGGCCATGGATGGCAAGTAAATGCAGGAAGGCGCCTCACTGCGGGCTCACTCCGATCTGCAGGAAAGACCTTGGATTGGACCGAGCCCTGAAACGGAAATGCGGCCCTTTTATGATGTCTGCTACCGCTTCTACGTACTCGCATGCTGCGTTCTGTCGTCCCTACAGCCGCAAGCTCAATTGGCAAAGAGTCCTGCTCTGGAGCTCATGAGCAGCTCAGCTTATGCTTCACAGATCTTCGCGGTGGGGGAGTTTACTCAAGGCTTTTCTTTCATGCTTACGTGATCAAACCTGGGAGGTTTCAGGGCTCCACTGGGCTGTGCTAGCGCTGCCGGCTGCGAAGCTGAACTTCGAGCCAAGGCCTGAAAAAGGGCCCCAAGACCGCCACCGGACATCAGCTGGCAGGAAGCCGAACCACCTCAGTCATTGAAATGGACATAAACGACAAACACTGACGATGACTGAGGATGCAGCTCCGGAGGCAGCAACTTGGCGCCGAAGTAGACCAGGGCAAGTTCTAGGACTGCAATCACAACCTCGCGGGTCTAGCCACCATGTCCAGCCGACACACCTGATAATATGAAGCAAGCTGGACAGCCTCAATCGCCGGCACCAGCCACAGCGGAAGCCCCAATGCTCCCAGAAGTTCGCCAAAGTCCCCCTGGGCAGCTGCTTTCTCTCTCCACATACTTCATGCACGAAAGTATTGTGTACTGACTCATGGCTTTGCCAGAAGAGCCAGCCTTGTCGGCAGCTGCCTTCAGCGCTGAGACACCTTGGTCAACGTGTCGTAACTCGAGCAATGCTCAGAACATGCCCCAAAGCCCAGAATGCACGCTGTGCCGAATGTGAAAAAGGCAAAGGCTTTGGGGAAGTTGGACAGAGCACAAGCAAAGCAGATGTAGCACGGGTCATGACCATCATCATAACCAACCTTATGGGAAGCACCCTAACCGCAACAAGGGAAATGTTCGCGTGGCTGTCGCGACATTCATGGTGCTAGAAATGGCAGTGGAGTCAATACCAGACCCTGAAAGCCTTTGAACCCTGCAAACCAAAATCGGTGAGAACCGAACAAAAAAATCTAGAAACTAAACCCTAAGCCCTAAGGTCTTCAAAACCCATACTGCCCAAGCCACAAAGTCCGCAGAGCCCAAGATATCCCAAGATAAAACTGAAGAAGACCAAGACTGGATAATGCTAGACCTTGTAAAACCCAAGAACTCTAGACTCTAGACCCTGGAATCTGGAACCCTGAACCGTGCAAGCACCACACTGCAAATCTATATTTAAGCCTCCAAGCGTGGCAGGGCCAGAATGCTTGTTTGTTGTGGGTATCAAAGCCAGGCCTACTGCTACGCTGCTGGGTCTCCGAACGGCATGCATAACGGCCGTGCAAAGAGGATGCTCGACTCTGCACTGCACTGAATGGCGTTCGAGTAAAATGGCAGCACATGGCAGCACCTTGCATTGCCTCGCGTGTCATTGAGCCCCGAGCTCTCCGCTGCCCTTTGCTGTCGCAGCTCTTCCGCAGGCTCCGCTGCATCCTGTCAAGCAGGTTCGCTCAACCGTGGCAGGACGGATGGAGTGGAGACCCGCCTCACTTTGGGATGGGCGGGCCACGGTCATGCTGCGCTGCACGGCCTGAGAGAGAGCGAAGGCAGAAGACCCACGATACTGTCAGACGAGCCTGTGGTACTTGTTGGGCTGGTGGGTAACCAGCGAAGGCGATGCCCTCAGAAAAGTCGTGACAATGAACTGACACAGCGCGAAAACTGCAGCACCTCTCGGACCTGCACGAAAAACTCAAGTAGAGTGCAGCCGAAGAGGGTGGCCAGGACAAGACATACCCTCTGGGCCCTGCGGGTGAAAGGCCAGAGAGCAAGCCTTCGTGCGATGCTCCAGCCGCCTCGAGTGCCTCAAAACCTTCGCAGAGCGCAAACATCTTGTCCTCGAACCTCAGGCAACACACTGACCGACAGCACAGCTTCTTGCCAATTCAAGCCAAGCTTCAGCCTGTGTGTGATGTGAAAGCCATTCGGAGAGAATTATGCTAAGTTCAAAATGGTATGTGAGTGCTCTGCAAGGCATTCGTGGAAATCCATCTGCTCATGTGGGCTGGTCTGAGCTGCAGCTGCTGTCCCTCTCGAGCAAGTCCATACATGGCTGCGACAAGTTCTGAAGCTCGACCAGAAACAATCATAATACAGATCTCCGCCACCTGGCAATCTGTTAGAAAGACTGACTGCCTCTGTCTTTTGGCGCACGCAATCAGCAACGGTACACACCACAGAAACGGCAGACGTTGAACAGCAGAAAACCGGCAGCACATAGCTCTCAGAGGTCCCAAGCCGCCTGGCACTCGACGCTTCTGTCCAAGTATGACAGGCTGACAGAATAATAATGATAATAATGTATAATAATAGCAATATGTATATAAAGCTCCATCATCCGGAGCCTGTCCGGCCTATCGCTTCTTCTTGCCCTTGCCCTTGTTCTTGAACTTTGCGTAAGGATCCTTTGGCACCCTCACCTGTCCGGTTTAGGGTTTAGGGTCCAAGGTTTAGGGTTTAGGATTTAGGGCTTCAAGCAGTTCAAGCACCACATTTAAACGTATCTGAGGTCCCACCCGCTTCGGCTTTGGATCGCCGAAAGGAAAACCGAAGTCTTTCATTAGCTTCAAAGCATCCGGCCTGCGATGCCAAGCAAGGGAACACATACCATTACTGGACAAAAAGCTTGCTTGGGCTCGTGCTGTGTGAAACAGTTGTTGAGGATGCGGATGTTGAAGCCGTGGACAACTTCCTGCGACCGTTCACAGCAGCCAGTCCATTCTTGTTGAAGCTTGACCCGAGAAACGGATTGAGTTGAGGTGTGCAAGATTCGCAGACACTTGGTGGGCATTGCGTTGTGCGGATGCTCCGCGACGGTTCGTGTCAGGATGACATGCCGGGGTCCCGCGAGTCGAGCAGCTCATCGAGCTCGTTGAAGGGCTCCTGTGTTGAGAAAGCACCGCAGAGTGCATGGGCCCCTCTCCATCCTCAGCTGAGCATGTCCTGGCTGGGCAAGTGCATCCAGTAGTTCGCGTTCCTGTTGAAGGAGGTCGGATCCAAACCTGCGTCCGCCAGTGCGGAGCTGCTGAGCTGCTGCAACGCGCCACATTGCTTAGCGGCCCTCGCCATGATATGGATTGGGGGCCTTCAAAGTCTCGCACTCGGGGCAGAACAATGGTGTTCAGCCTCTGGAGAAAATCGTTCCTTGGAGCTGCGGCTATCTGTACGCTCTGCCCGGGATGGCCTACGTCAGACATAGGTAGCCGACATCAAATGGCCCCTTATGTTGACTTTGGCTCCAGATTTATCTCCCTGGCAGCACCATGATCAAGTAACATCTGGCACTTCGAGGAACATCTGTAAAGAAGCTATGAAGACAGCCACCAAATGGCCAGATGCACGATGCGGTATCCTAGCTCCGCGTTGTTGGATGTAAAGTAGGTTGCCTCGAGCGATGCCAAGAATGGATATGCAGATTTGCGAGAATTGGAGATTTGCCAAGCCGTGAACAACTGGGTGAACACCACTGACGCGCCGGAGCTCTTCTATGACCTGCTGCACACGCATATCACCACGAAGACCATACATGCAAACATGTGTTGCGGTTCAGAAACCTACATGGATGCTGGCCTGATTCATGATCTTGGTGTTTGATGCCTGCTTTGGTGCCAGTGGCACAGCAATGTTGACCTGACGATCCACCGGAAACTCATGCATTCGAGCTGATTCTGCACCCTTCGTGCCTTAATGAATTGGTCCGGATCCGCTGGCTTGGGGCCTCTGTACACGAACTTGCCCTTCAAGGTTTTGAGCCACCTGTCAGAAGCAGCAACATCTACCAAGATCTCCCTGAAGTGGAAGTACAAGCCGTGCATCGCGGAATGCCTGGTTGTCCTTTCCTTCTTGTCAAACTGCTGATCCACAGTCAGCTCACCTTTTCCTGTCCTAGGAGGGGTCAGTGCTGCAAATGGCAACAAGGAGCAACCCCGGTAAGTGCCGCGCTTGACCTTGATTGTGCTTGCGGGCATGGCTTCTTGTGTCACATCCACAGGCCTGACTCAGCCACATCTGTGAGGCAGGAAGACATGCGCAGGACTCACAACACAAGCCGCAGGCCGTCCACCCGGTTTCGCAGCACACATGATCACCGCCTCAGCCCTGGCCTGAACGGTGGTTGCTGCAAGCGAGGCGCAAACTGACCCGGAAAAAGGACCCACTGTCGCATGTTCCAATGCCGAACCCAAAACCACAAAGGCCCTAAATCCAACCCTTACCGCGAGGCGGAAAGAGCAGACGGAGCCTCTGAGCCATGTCGCGGTATCCCCAGCATTTCAGGCTGGGGAGACACAAAAAGCCGTGGACCTTCGGGGACACGCATGACACAAGAGAAGTCATGAGTCAGAGTCATGACATTATCAACGAAGAAACACTGCTCCATGGTCATCTGTCGACCGTTTTGCCGTCAATCAACAGCCGTATCAGTATGCGTGCGGTTTACACAGATGACAACGGAGGTGCCTGCCAGGTTGTAGACCAGTAGACCAAGGCCAGCCAAGGCGATGCCTGTGCTTGGAAAACGCAGGCGCTGACGCAAAAACGGCTGTCGAAAGTCGAAGCACCGGCGCCAGTGCGATGATTCCGCATGCTCGCCTCCAGACATGTTTTTCGGAGTCTATCAAACGCAAGCCGCTGTCTTCGGGTCGGCCTTCTGCGCTGCAGCTGCAGGCTGCATCAGAAGCTGCAGCCCGATTTCCTCAGACAAGCGCAAGTATCCTTCTTTCGCGAGGTGGAGTCTGCCCAGAGTCCAGAGCCTCCCAGGAGGACTTCTGGATCTGCCCGGGCCGCCTGCAGAGAGTCACACAACGAAGTGCGTGAGCAACAAGACCGCAGAATGCGGTGAAGCTTCTTGCCACCAGTGCAAGTAGAACCAACAGGGTCTTAGGGTCAATCGTCAATACACTTAGACTTAGTGATGTTGTTTTTAGTAGGACTCGTACGCACCGGGGGCCTGTGCAGGCTGGGCTGGGCGTCCCAGGTCCGCTGACCAGGGCTTGAGCCGCAAGGTTTCGGAGCCGCACATGACAATGACAGGCTTGGGCTTGGAGTCTTGGAGCACCACGGGGCTTTGCAAATCCCAAACATGAAAGCCGAGAGAGGCTCTCTTTCTACTCGCCAAACCCCGGAGATGTCCACTCCTGCCAAGCTCGGAGGGAGAAGCGCTCCTCCATGGCCAGCTTTACATCTTCCAAGTCATCGAAGGGCTGCCGTGACCTCCTACACTCCCAATGAATCGCCAAAGTGAAGCTTACTTTCCTCGTACTGCGGCAGGATGCTGTTTGTCGACCCACGTGACCTACGTCCCAGGGCGCACGCACACGCTGTGGAATGGCAAACCACGTTTCGTTATGCTACGAGCCTCCTTGCAGGCTGCATCCAAGATGTGTAAAAAAGGAACCTGTGCCTGAGTTAACCATCCACAGAACAATTAAAGTTAAGGATCCACCACACCTGCAGAGGCTATTTAGAGGCGCTGCACTCAAGGAAATCAGATCCGAGCAAGTCTGATGTGTTCGCAGTTCCGCAGTGCAGAAGCCTGCTGTCCATCACTACCTCGGAATGCTGCTGGTGCCAAATCTCTGCGTCTGTGCGTGTGCACATCAAATTCCGCAACATCATGACTCGGAGCTGTGTGCTGGGCACAGTCTCCCATGTTCATGGTACAGAGGACCGCGCTGTCTTCGTCAACCTCGCCCAGAGCCCAAAACGGTGAGCAACGACTAAACTCCACTCCACTTCTGCTACGGTCCCAACTTCTTTCATTCCCAGGTGGAGCTCTCCATCCTCGCCCGGACAAAAGGGCATCCGCTGAAATGCTACGACATGCAAGCTGAGTCCAGCACTAAATGGGATTTGGGATACATCTTAGTCGGACCTCGCCTGGGTACGAATGCAGACCTGTCGACTGGTCTACTAAGCAGCCGCCGGAGTCTAAGGGCAGCACTCAGATGCGATGTCATGAAGCGCGACCTGATACTTCAACACAACATGAGCTGGCTCTTGTTCTTGCGCAATGATTGCAAGCTCGTCAGCACTGCAAATATCGTCACCACCTCAGGGCAACTCTGACATAAATGTGTGACAGTCTCAGAACGTGTCATGCGAACCTGCTGGTCGTAGACATGGGAAGTGTCGGCGTGAACCTGAGCATTCCCGTACTGTGAGGTGTGCCATCCCTCATCCAACCAAGCCAATGTGCCGGCTGCCCAGGGTCCGAAGGAAAAGTACACATGGCCTGGCAGCCGCATGTCAGCTCAAACAGAAACCCTGCGTTTGACAACAAACAGGAAAGCATCACCGCCATCTCCGTCAATTGCCAAGAAGGTCGCAGCGTTTCCAGCACCTATCATCTTCCGAGACCTAGCTTGTCCGATCCTCCACCTGCTCCATGCATCATGCTTGTGCACCTTTTGCAAACGGCCCAAGATGCTGACGAGGGCAATTTTCACCTGCAACCGATCAGTCAGCAGAAGACGGCACGCGTGAATTTGGTCATCGCATGAAGAGCACCAATCCTCGTTTGACAGCTGGAGTTTCAGATCCCACCGATGCCCGGAGTCCTTGCAGACAAGCACCGCAACAGATCAGATTTTGCATCTTGCGAACCCCCGTGGCATCACTCCAGCCTAGCCTCGTAGCCATAAACATCCCCAAAGAATGTGGGATCACCCTCATACCGTCTTTGCTCGAGCTCCGATTGAACTCGGCAGCACAGCGCCTAGACAGGACGTCTCCAGGCTGAACTTCCGGATCACATCCAAAACTTCACAACTTTGCCTCCGACACTTCAACGGGCAAGACGTTCTTGATTCGGACAAGTCCATCGCGGCTGAATGCCGCAGCAACCTGCTGGACAAGCACAAGAGTACCCAATGCAACATAAAAACAGACGTTCATTGACGTATCGATATGCACTTCGTGACAAATTTGCTAAGTTGCTTCGCGGGCATGGTCGGGCAACCGTGATGCCTCAACCTTCGCAGCGAAACAACAAACAAAAACGGTTGAAGTACGCATCCATGAGGTCCGTGCTGAGAAAGCATCCAACCTTTCTATGTTCATGACAGGCATATGCGAGCTTGTGATGTGTCACTGCCATGCGCATCGTGCTTCGTGCTTCCACTTTTGTAAAAGTGTGACCTTCAAGGTGCTTCATGATTCAGAACAATGCCATTGACAACTTCCAAGCTTGACGAAAATTGCCTCAGGATTAACGTAGACCTGCGGTGGCTTGTCTTCGGATCCAGTTGACGCCTATCGCTGCGGACAGCGTGCTGGGCTTCCTAGACCAGTCATCGGCTTTTTTCACCTCGGGCCGTGACCATGATGCATTGATGCGATTCGGCTGGCAACTGGCAGAGCGGGCAGGAGGATCGGTTCTGTTCGCAAATCAGCACGCGTCAGTTCCCAAGTGGGACCGAAATACCCCGCTTGTCATTGCTGGATACATTTTGTCAAAGCCGTCGAGAAATGAAACCATGCATCCACATCAAATCACCATTGGCTCCAATGGAAGCAGTGATGGTCCTCTGCTCTTCGTCCACACACGTAATCACTCTACCAAGAATCTCGTAGGTCTCTTTGGCACGCCAAACCGTATATGTAGGCTCACTGCTTTGCCTGATTTCGAAGCGATCGATAACCTTACTTGGCTCGTCGCCCGTTTTGAAGGTGATCCACTCGCCTTCGAGTTTGCTAGCCGTCCGTGACCCCACCTGATCGGGAGGTAAGGGTGCCACACAACGAGATGTGACACCCAGGACTCAAACAATGTCGCCATTTGTTGTGAATGAGCTTGTCATTTTGCCATTTACCTGCGACACAGTATTGGCTTTGATTTCATAGGTTTCCCGTGGCTGCGCATACCAAGCGATCAGTGACCTATCGGATTGCCGCAGCTCCAAAGAAGAAACGGAATCATCTGATGATGCTGTGCCGTGGAAGGTTGCATACCTGCCTGCAACTGAGGATGCGTCTACCGTCGCCTCCCCTTCTGTTGTGGGCAACTGGCACACTGGCCGAGACGTCACCGCCATGCCCAAATTTTCCCAAGTAATGGTACCGTCTGCATCAACAACTCCTTTTTGCGACTTGGTGCCTACCAAGATGTTTCCCTTGAGCTTCCAATTATCTCCTGCACGCCAGACTACAAAGGTGTCTTTGCCAGCCGACCTCAGTTCAAAAGAATCAATAATATCATCTGTGCTTCCCGGTTTGATGGTGCTATAGCGGCCTTCAAGCGCATCGGCTGAAGGGTCAGTGGACAGGGGCCCCACACGGGACGAGGTGAAGCCGAGGCCCCAGACAATGGTACCATCTGCTTGAACATTTCCATTCATACGTCCCTTCAACACGTTCCCGCTTCGTGTGTACTTCTCTTTCGATCGCCAGGGCGTGAAGTGGTGCTCTCCAGATTTCTTAAGTTCGAAGGCATCAACGAGGCTGTGAGGGCTGCCCGTCAAAAAGCTCACATATTCGCCTTCAATCGACACGGGTAGTTCAACTGCATCCGCAGGTCCAAAGGTGTGATCCAGATTCAGATTCACCCTGTCTCCAGAATCACGAGGGCAGTGGCAGTTGCCCATGGCGCGCCTTCGGGAATGTATGAGTAGTAACTTTGTATCCAGGTTCTAAGGCCTGCAGCCCGCAAATGAAAGAACACTATGCCTGGCCAAACATCTCCTGAGCAGGCCTTACCCATGTTTGCACACACATGTTATACGTCGAGCTTTGCAAAGATAGAAACTGGCGGCATGGTGCCTTTTGCGGCACCGTTTGCGAATTCAGCGGCCGCATGGCCCACATTTAAGCAACTCGCAATCGAATATTTCCCTGCGTCTACGAGGGACGGCCCGAGGCGCAAAGGGCGAGGTTGCTACAATTTCTATGATCAGCAGTGTCACGGCCCGTGGTCCATCATCTGCCACCTTATGTGGGTGAGAGCTCACGGTTTAAGGTTTGGGGTGTGGGTCGGCGTTTCACTTACACAATATGCATATGCACACATGCATGTATATTGATTTGTATAAATTTATATACATGTGTATACAATTTCCGGAGGCCCATTTGCACAAGGCTCTGATGTCTTTCCAACGATATCATGTGCTTGGAAGCAAGCTTGCACGGCTTTAAAAAACAAGCGAGTGGTTGGGAGTCGGGAGGGAGGGAGTGGGCTGGCTAACCACATCACATGACCGGAGGTCCACGGAACCACGAGGCCAAAAGATCACGGGACCACGTGACCACAGGACCGCACGACCACGGGACCAGCAGACCACGGAACCACAGGACCAGACTGCACCAACAGCAAACCTGGAGACATGCAGAAAACCAAAGAAACATAAACCAAAAGTGTTCTCGCATCTGGGAACAACAACAAAACGCCGAGCTGACAATCTGACAACGTTCATGGACCCCGATCCGATGCGCGGAGCCAAGACTGCAGGCGAACCTGCGGTGCATACCGCCCCAATATCGAGTTGAATCGGATACACGGTCCTCGATTTCGCCGCGGCACGCTTGCATTCTACCCGCCCCCTGCTGCCTGCACGAGGTGCGCTCTGCAAGTGTCAGCTTGTTCAAGTTTCCTTTCTTCAAATCAGCCCGACCAGCTGCTACGGAGCCAGAGCCTCCTTGCATTGGTATTGACGAGGAGGCGGTCGCGGTGTGGACTTAACAGGCACTCCTTTTGTTCAGGTGTCTGGCAACGGCGGCACGCGGCTTTCGGGCAGCGTCCAGCAGTTCCGTCAGAGCGTCTGAAGAATGAAGAGGCAGGACTGAGTTCAAAAGGAACACAGACACAAGCTCAGTGCATGCCAGCACAAGAATGCAGCGCGAGAGCACCGGTCGGCGTTGCTGACCTGCGCGGTTTAGAGCGCAACTGTGCTGGGTGCAGGACTGACAGACATGTTAACGGAAGATTCTTTCAACTGATCAGTTGCGCGATGCATGTCAACACAAGCTTTGTGTTGGCAAAACTCCTTGGAAAGTGCTGCACTGCAAAGTAGGGGCTTCAGCGTGTTTGATTTTGCAAAGACCTTCACGAGCGCACAGACTTGACTGCTTCTGCTTTCCGGACCATGCACAGCTCTGGTAAGACCTCGAGGTGCCGCGGCTGAGGTGGTCTGTCCATTCATGCTCGCAAGTTTTCAAAGATTTTTCGGGCTTGTGGAAGCGCTGACGGAATTTTCTTGTGGTAGGCAATCCCCAGAGAAACTGTGTTCACAGCAGAAGCAGAAAAATTGGGGATTCAGAACCATTTTCCGAGTTGTGTGCAATCCACCTATAGCTTGCAAGCAAAGAGTAGTTCTGGGGATCCGCGTTGTGCTGAATTCCCCAATAGCTTGCCCGCAAAAAAGAAATGCAAATTGGCAAAACACCAATAGCTTGCCAGAAACACAAAATAGATTGCCAAAACTGGATCGGGTGGATTTAGGGGCCACAACTCTCCAAATCTTGCAGGTTTGCTATGGTTGTAGGATTCGAACCCTTTTATTCACACTCACTCCCGATCCAGATTTTGGCAATCTATTTTGCGTTTTCTGGCAAGCTATTGGTGAATTACAATTTTCAATCTTTTTGCTTCCGGCAAGCTATTCGGGAATTCGAGCGTGCAAGGTCTTTTGCTAGCAAGCTATTGATATTCGGGAATTGCATGGCGCGTGATCTTGTTTTTCGGCAAGCTATTGGGGAATATTTTTTTGGCGTGGGCGGCCTCGTCGACTACAGCTGTAGCACTCAATCCCTACAAACAAGACAAACCAACAAACAAACAAAGACAGCGGTGAAACAGGGCGGTTCGTTAAAGAGAGGCAAAGCTGCAGCGCACAAGCTTTGCCGGTGTTGGCCGTTCAGCACGAGCTACGGAGCCTCAGCGACCGATCCACAACAGCAAAAGGCCGTCGCCTAGAGCTGTCCAGGCCACCGGTGCAGTCCAAGGTTCGAAGCTCCGGCCGCCGTTCTTGTTCCGTCGAACAACAGATGGCCCCGGGGTCCTGTTGTGTCACGATCGTGCACACAAAGTCCACAACTCCACGATGGAATTCCCGTCCAGCGGCAATCTCAAAGAAAGACCCTACGACGTATGTCGATGGTCATAAACATAACAGACTCATGCCTGCCGATGCGACCCCACAGCGTCATGGGTACAATCCAGGCGGTCATGGCCAAGAATCCAGCTGGCTGCATGTCTGCCGCTGGTCAAAAAGTGTAATTCTTGCAACAGGTGTAACAATTGCTAATTGCGCTGCGCCTACAATTCCTGTAGGCGGTGAAAGCCATATCGGAGTGTATCTTGATCCGGCTCATGGAGGTGCAGCATCAGCTCAATGAAAATGAACTGGAATGCTTGGACCTATACCAAGTAGTGAATGAGAACCTTGGCCTCGTTTCCCACGCATCGAAATGGACCGGCAATAAGTTTTCTGTGGGCTTCTTCACCAAAAAACAACAGCGCCAAGATTCCAACCAGAGGTGGTAGCATCCGGCCTAAGGCGCCACAAGGCAGCATGCAAAAAGCAAGAAAGCGTGGACAACGCTTTGCAGACAACATCATCCAGCAGGTCTGAACACGCCCGGGAATACAAACTTAAGAAGTCAAGTCGCCAAGTCGCCGGGCGCGGCGTTTCGCGCGGTAGACTAAATTAAATTTAAAAGAAGTTAGCGGCGAAGCGGGCGCCGCCAGCGGCTTTCGGGTTAAGGGTTTTGGGTTTAAGGTTCGGGTTCAAGTGTCCCACTCCTTCCCACGGTCAACAACAGCTGTTTTCGCATTCAGTCCAGGTGACCGTCACGAACAACTACCGGATTGCGCTGTGCAGGCTCCGGGTTTACGAAAGGCGGTTTGAAGGCAGACATGGATGCCCAAGTCACAGCCCCAACGTCTCTTTGAGACTGTCGAAGCTTTCCAAAAACGGCAAACACATCTTGTCCTCCAAACCAGTGCTTCAGCTGGAAAAGTCGCACATGGAAATGCATGAGCTGCTCCATGCGGGGCGCCTTCTCTTCAGAGGAAGGAACACGTCTGAAACTCGCGAAAAACCCATCTTGCTCCCGAAGTGGTCTCCAACCCACATTTGGACCCGCATTTTCTAGGACAATTCCGCCTGGGAGCTTCATTCTTCCAGTGTCAAGCAGAGGGGAAGATTGGGAACATAGAAATATGGGCTAGTCTGCAGCGCAGGATCTAGGCTCGCTTGGTAAGACTGGTTTGTGTTCTGCTCTGGCCGCAGGAAAGGGGAGGCTGCTTTTTAGCTTCGTCTGGCAAGCCCGAAATGTAGGTCTTCATTCTGAAGCATTCCTCACTGTTCACTGTGCAGGCTACTGTATTCCATCAGTGGATGAATCACATTTGGCGTGACGCCGCTAAGCCGGTGCTGGTGGTGAACATGGATGAGACCTCGGTGGTGCGGCATCCAACTGGGCTCTGGGAACTGTCTTGAAGGGTCCGGCGAATAAGCCGCGGCGGGACCACGGGACTCTCTCGGACCGTCGTGGCAGCTTGTCGTTTCTGGCAAGCATCTGCCCGGACAGCGACGTGCAAGGCATACTGCCGCAGATTCTTCTGGCGAATGAGCATCAGGTCAGTCTTGCAGTTCTGCGCCGCTTGCAAGCTTCAGGTTCGCTTTCTCCCAACATGCACATCTGGCGAGAAGCATCTGGGTGGACGACGCATGCCATCATGAGGCGGTACCTCAGCTTCTTGGCGCGGTCTTTGGGCGAGGTGGTCGCCCAGCGGACGGTTGTCCTCCTTGTTGATGTTAACAGAGCACACATAGACCATTCGATACTTTTGCATGCCAGGCGACTGTCAATTCGAATGTGCTTTGTCCCGGCCAGGATAACACGATGGCTCCAGCCAGCAGACACAGCTGTGTTCGCTCGTTTCAAGGCTGCGTTTCGTCGCACCTGGAGAGAGCAGAAAGCTTGCCTGCCTATGGGCGTGGTCTCCCAAGAGACATGGCTGCGCATAATTTTCGCCGCGATTGCCGCTGTCTTGCCGACGACCAATTGGTATGTCGCCTTCGACTCTCTTGGGCTGCTCGGGAACCAGAACTCCATGTCGCAGAGAGTGTGTGAGGAGCTGGGCTTGGCAATGCCACCGCAGGTCCCGCGTGGAGTTCCAAGTGCGGCGCAGGCTGCGTTGGTCTTGCCTAGTGGAATGAAAGTCGATGTGATGACTTGGGTGCATTTCGTGCCGAAGTCAGCTTTAAAAGGGTTGGCTATGCCAGCCGCGGCGCACGGCCCAGGGGCAGCAAGGCCTGCGGCGTCGGCGTCGGGTGCGTCTGGGAGTTCCGTCGCTCCGAGACGTCGTGCGCTCCCAGCTTCTGTTGAACCAGTGCGTTGGTATCGTGGACGCCCAGTCCGCGACCTGCGCTGATTTCAAAGAGCCCAGCAGCGTTTGAAAATACTGGAGAGGCCACCTCTACACGGGTCTGTTTCGAGCAGTGTTTTTGATACCAAAAGTGGTGTTGCTGCGTGGAGGTCCTGTGTGACGGAACGAAGCGTGGAAGCCATTCGCCCAGCCTCTCTGAAGTCTGTTTCAGATGTGCTATGTGATGTGGTTTCTTGGACCGATTTCCTCCGCCAG